GTTTAAATTTTACAATATTGAAATTTATGTTGAAAATCTCGTCAAGATTCGAATCTCGATTTAAAATAAAATTTGATTATTATATAATGTAGTAAATTCATTCAATTGCTGTTTTAATATTGTGTTATTCTATTTTGCAACAAAACTGTAGGTAGTTTTTTACAATAATACAATGACAATTTTTTTGACAAAGTCAAACAATTATTTTTTACAAATTCTTCTACAGTATATATATATATATATATATATATTCAAAATAATTGTTTTCAACATACATTGATTCTTATCCATGATATAGTTTTCCATTTTCTTACACTAACAAAGTTTCATCATATGACTTTATTTTAAAATAGTATCATAGATGATTTTATAAAAAAGAAACAAAGATAAAATGACTTATAAAAATGACATAATAAGTGTTATATGATAACACTTATATATTAGATGTATAAATTAAATTTCGGCCTTTTTTGATGAAATCTCAACCAACTTTGACATTTGTCTGCCTAGATATTTTAGGCGATAGGAAACGTCTTGCTGGGTTACTCCAAGCATATTTGCAAGTTTTAATTGCGTTTGGCAAGAATTCTCGTTCAAAATTTCCTCCAACTCCACGTCTTCCACTTTTTTTGGTTGACCAAGACCTTCATAATCCTCAAGGTCGTTATTTCCCTCTCGGAACTGTTGGAACCATTTTTTACACGTACTGTATGATACAGCATTCTCGCTCAAATTCGAACAAATCATTTCTTTTGCCTCAACCGCATTTTTTTAAGTTAGAACGCGAAAAGAAGGCACCGTATTTATTGCTGATTTTTCAGGTTATGTTCACAGGAGGATCAAGTACCTCATTTTAAAGTTAAAAGATGGCACTTCAAAATGACTACAGAAGAGGGAGGATTTAACTTAAACGGGTTCTGAGGTCGCTGAAAGGTAGGGGCCGAGAATTAATTTGTACATCTAATATATGTGTAATAGTTTTATAATAATTGTTTCATAATCAATTTAGTAATAATTTTCTTTATAATAAAATATTGAGGTGATGCGTTTATAATGTAGTTCCACAACAATCCGCATCTACAACGAACTATATATTGTTTCTTCTGCGACAATAATCCTCTTCTGATGAAAAAGATATTTTTCGGTAAAGTTCTGTGATGATTCTCTTCTGCGACAGAATCCTATGATGTTATTCTCTTCTGCAATAAGATCTACGATGATTATCTTCCACGATGGAGCTCCATGATAGCTCTCTTTCACGATAGAGATCTTCAATGATCCTTTTCTACGATTAAGTCCCGTGATGATTCAAATGGCACGCGATTGGACACGAGCCACTCATAGCGCTTGAGATTAGAAAATCCCGGCATCCGGCTACTGTGATTAATTATTTAATCGAGACGTGATTATTCAGAATTCTTCGAATAATTCTCTTCTATAATAAGATTCCATAATAATCCTTTTCTGTAACAAAGGTCTGCAATGATCTTTTGTTATAAAATTCCACTAAATGTTTTCTGTAACAAAATACCGTGACAATCTTTTCTTACAAGTAGATTTTATAATAATCTTTATTTGTGATAAAATTCCGAGAGAGAGAGAGATATGTGATCCTCTTCTGTGATAAAATTTTAAAATAACACTCTGTGATAAAGTCCTACGATGATCCTACTTTGCGATAAAGTACTGTGATAATTGTTCTTCGGCGATGATCCTTTCCTATGATGGAGTTTCACAACGTTTCTTTTCTACGACAGAATTACGCAATAATTTCCTTCTACAAGAGTTTCATGATGTGATCTTTTTCTTCAACAAGGTTCCACGATAAACTTCTACTACAACAAGGTCCCATAATGATCCTTTCTGCAATAAGATACCATAATGATCCTCTGGAATTCTAAAATAATCTAATATGACGAAATCTTGTGATAATTCTCTTTTGTGATAGTCTTATGATGTGATCCTCTTCTACTATAAAGTTCCACGATGATCCTCTTCTGCGAAAAGGTATCTTTCATAATGGTTCTCTTCTGCAATGGAATCCTATGATGATCTTGTATTACAAAATCCCATGGTAATTCTGTTCTGCAACGAGACATGATCCTCTTCTACGACGAAGTCCCACGGTGATCCTCTTCTGCAAGAAAACCCCACGATGATCTTCCACGATGATCTTTCACGATGATCTTCCACGATGATCTTCCACGATGATCTTCCACGATGGTCCTCTTCTGCAATGGAATCCTATAACGATCTTGTATTGCAAAATCCCATGATGATTCTGTTCTGCAACGAGATCTCACGAGACATGATCCTTTTCTATTTCCATCAGGATGACGGGGAGGACTTCAGTCCACCTTTCCGTCTGGTGGCTCTTGATGGCTGCTTTCAGCGTGCGGTGAAAACGCTCTACCATTCCGTTCGCCTGAGGGTGATAGGCGTTGGTCCGTAGGTGCGTGGACCCAGTGATGGTGGTGAGTTGTTTGAAGAGGTCCGCTTCGAATTGGCGCCCCTGGTCCGTGGTAATTCGGAGGGGTGTTCCGAACCTGGCTATCCAGTTTTCAAACAGCTTCCGTGCCATTGTCTCTGCTGTAATGTTGCTCACCGGGATGGCTTCCGGCCAGCGAGTGTATCTGTCGACAACAGTGAGGCAATACTTGTAGCCTTTCGAGCTAGGTAATGGTCCTACTATGTCGACGTGTATGTGCTCGAAGCGTTGTGTTGGGCCCGTGAACTTGCCCAGCGGCGCGCTGTTGTGTCGGCTTATTTTCGCTTTTTGGCATGAATTGCAGGCCCTGGCCCATGTTCGGCATTCCTTAATCATATTCGGCCATATGAATCTTTCGGACACCAATCTTGCTGTGGCTTTGATCCCTGGGTGCGCCAGGTCGTGTAGAGATTGGTATGCCTGGTAACGGAACTCTTCCGTGAGGAAAGGCCTGGGCGTATTCGTGCTCACGTCGCAGTACAGGTATATTCCTGTCCCTGGGATTCGCACTTTCTTCAATTGCAGGCTCTGTGGTTCCTCCAGGTAGCTCCTGAGTTGGTCGTCACTTTCCTGCGCCTTGGCTAGCTGCTCAAAGTCGATCGCTTTCTGGATTTGCTCGACCCGTGACAGGGCGTCTGCTACGACGTTGTCTTCACCCGAGATGTGTTGTATGTCCGTGGAGAATTGCCCGATGAATTCAAGATGGCGTGCTTGGCGTGGTGAGCTTTTCAGCGGATCTTGCTTGAAGGCGTAGATTAGCGGCTTGTGATCCGTGAAGATTGTGAAGCTTCGGCCTTCCAGCATATGTCGGAAGTACCTCACTGCTGTGTATACTGCTAGCAGTTCGCGGTCGTACGGACTGTATTTCCTTTGGGCGTTGTTGAGCTTCTTGCTCAGGAAAGCCAGTGGTCTCCATTCGTCCTCGCTGTGTTGCTGTAACGCGGCCCCTATGGCCGTGTCGGAGGCGTCCGTTACTAGTCGTAACGCGGCCGTTACTCGGGGGTGTTCCAGCATGGTGGCCTGGGCCAGGCTCTCCTTGACTAGAGTGAAGACTTTTACTCGTTCGGTACCACTCAACTGGTACCTTGCCTTTGACTTTGCCTTTCAAGGCGTCGTTGAGTGTGGACTGTGCTTGCGCAGCCCCTGGTATGAACCTCCGGTAGAAGTTGATCATCCCCAGGAACTGTCGCAGTTGCTTCACCGTTTGTGGTTGCGGGAAGTCTTGTATTGCTTGTACTTTTTCCTGAGGGGGCTTGGTACCCTTGTTGGTTACGTCATATCCCAGGAACTTGATCTGCGTTTTCCCCAGGATGCATTTAGCTGCATTTATGCGGATGCCGTACTTATCGAGGCGTTCAAACACCTCCCGTAGGTGCTTGCAGTGTTCCTGAGGTGTTGTAGAGGCTATCAGGATATCGTCGATGTAGGCGTAGCAGTACTCCAGGCCTTGTAGGACCTCGTTTATAAATCGCTGGAAAGTCTGTGCTGCGTTGCGCAAACCGAATGGCATGTATTTGAATTCGTACAAGCCAAACGGCGTGGTGATGGCTGTCTTTGGCACGTCTTCCGGGTTTATCGGGATCTGGTTGTATGCCCGTACCAAGTCCAACGTAGAGAAAATGGTCTTGCCGCTGAGCGTCTGCGCGAAGTCCTCCAGATGTGGTATCGGGTACCGATCAGCTATTGTTCGGGCGTTTAGGCGTCGGTAGTCCCCGCATGGTCGCCAGGTGTCGTCCTTCTTTGGCACCATGTGTAGCGGGGATGCCCAAGGACTCTTGGAAGGCTGGATGACGCCTTCCTGCAAGAGTATGCTGAACTCCATTTTGGCCGCTTTGAGTTTGTCCGGCGGGAGTCTTCTGGGTCTGCAGGTTTCCGGAGGTCCCGGTGTCGTTTGTAGATAATCCACGGTCTCGTGCTTGATTGCCTGTTGTTGGCCCGCTATCCGCGTGAGCCCCGGATACTCTGCCAAGATTTTATGGTACTCTGTCGAGGTAGTCACCGTTTTTATTGACGGGGTGATAGACGTGCTCGCCGTTCCCCTTATGTCCAAGCCTGTCTCGCTGTCGATCAATCTTCTCCTTCTCATGTCCGGCAGGAGATTGTAGTGTGCCAAGAAATCGGACCCCAGGATCGGCTGAGCGGTTCGTGCTACCACGAATCTCCACGTGAAGTTCCGTCTGAGGCCTAGGTCGGGCTGCAGCGTGATTATGCCGTAGGTTGGTATCACTGTCCCATTTGCTGCATACAGCTGATACGGTGCGGGTGGCCCGCGTTTCCTGGTTGCTGTTACCGGATAAATGCTGACGTCTGACCCTGTGTCGACGAGAAAGCGTTGCTTCGTGGTCTTGTCGGTGACGTAGAGGCGGCAGGGTTGGAAGCAAGTCGCACTGGCCGCCGTCAATGCGTGCCCGACTCGTTTTCCGACTTCTTGAAATCGCAGGGTGGTTCGCAGTTGCGTGCCTTTGTTCCGAAGCGCTGGTGGTAGAAGCATGTGCTTGGGTTGTCGCGTACTCTATTCCGGCTCCGGGATCTGCTGCGGTTTCTTATCGCCTTCTGCTGTTGGTGCATGGCCTGTGCGAGAAGGCCAACCTGCGTCGTTAAAGTTGCTAACTGGCCTCGTAGCTCATCCAAGGGGTCCGTCGGGGGTGTTGGTGCTGCTGCAGCCAGGACTACCGCTTTGTTGCCAATCTCATGGATGCGGTCGGCATGGTCAGCTACGTTGTTCAGCGGGTCCTCCGCTCGTGTAGCCAAGATGGCCTGTATGTACGTCGGCAGGCGTCCCAGCCAAAGAGTGCGTAGGAGCCTCTCTGACACTATGGTCCCAGCCAGGGTGGAGAGGTGCCTGAGGAACTGTGATGGTTTTCGATCGCCCATCTCCTCAGTTTCTATCAGCTTCCTGATGCGGTTTTCTTGTGAGTCGGTCAGTCGTTGTATCAAGGCTGCTTTCAAAGCTTCGTACTTTTGGCCGCTGGGCGGGCTCACGATAATATCTTTTACTTCCTTCGCCTGGCCGGGTTCCATGCGAGAGAGCGCGTGGAGGTAGCGTTCGTGGTCTCCGGTGATTTTAGCGAGTTCGAACTGGCCTTCCAGCTGGGCGAACCATAGTTCTGGCTCCTCTGGCCAGAATGGCGGAATCCGGAGTGTGATGCGACTCGTTTGCTGTGTCTCGGCACTTAGGTCGATGGTGGCGTTGGCTTCGTCTTTCATCATGTTGTATATCTCTCCCTTGCTTGGTACTGCCGATCACGTCGGGGTCACCAGTTGTAGCGATGCGCTTAGCGTATACGGTTATGTCTACCCGCTACTGGTAGATGTAAGATGAGTCACCGACCGGCCGTCGCTGTCGGCCTCTGTCGGTGCGGCACCAGGGATTGCAAGAGAGAGGTTGAAGTCGTGACTCTGTATATAATTTATGTACACGTTTATTATAGCTATGTACAGATATATACAAAGATGGTAGGTCTTGGTATTTTATGGTGGCCCTGAAAAGGGCCGTTGGGCTTCCTCCTCACTTAGAGGGGCTTCGATCCTTGTAGGTGAGCGGTGGCTGCGTATGCGTCCACTTGGTGGTGCGCCGCTTCGCACTTACTCGCTCGCAGTAAGTGAGCGAGGGCTGTGTCGCGGTCCTCTTTACCGGGCCCCAGTAGTTCGCGTTCTCGTCTCCGGGTTGGTTGGTGGTCTCCCACTCGGATCCAGAGGACGGCTCCTGTTGTCCCGCTGGTGGAGGCGCCTGCAAGTATCGTGGCGAGGTGTACCGGCGCACTCTGAGGTCCCACGGGTATAGGCAGTACCTCGGTGGCCTAGTCCTGGCAGGCGGCGGTATGTCCAGCCGGTGCAACTTCCAGGCGGCAAGCTGGAGGGTCACCTTTCGCACGGAGGTCGGCTCTGGTCCCTGCTGACCGGTCGACTGTATCGACGACTCGGGCGGAGACTGCGATGCGTTGCCCAGCTGGTGTTGCCGTCTTGGTGGGCGCCGGAGCAATCCGGTTGCCTCCACTGGCCGGATCCTGGGTGTCGTCGCTTGTAGTCGACGGCGGCGCAGGAGCTGCTGTCGTAGACGCTGGATCAGCGAGGCTCCTCTCTGCCGGGCTGGCTGCTGCGGCGGCTGCCGCTGCGGAGGCTGCGCTGTCCGCTGATGCTGAGGCTGCGATGGCTGCTGCTGTCGAGGCTGCGATGGCTGCTGCGGCTGAGGCTGCGATGGCTGCTGCGGCTGAGGCTGCGATGGCTGCTGCTGTCGAGGCTGCGGTGGCTGCTGCGGCAGAGGCTGCGATAGCTGCTGTAGCTGCGATAGCGGCGGTAGCTGCTGTTGCTCGGTAGACCGTAGCTGCGTTAAAAATTGCTGGGAGGAATAGCCCTGCATGCCGCTGCTCGGTGCCGGTTGATCGGTTCGGCGCCTTATCTATAAGGGCTCTGGACCGATTCTTCGCACGCGATAACATTATCGGCGCTAGCCCTCTGGTGGGCGTACCGCGGTAGTTGCGCGTCGCGCAGTATTTGCGTGCGGTCGCGTGCTACAGGCGCTTGGATGTTCCCCCCGAGCGCTTGACGAAAGGTAGCTTCTCGGTGGGTTTTCGTTAGTGCGACTGATAAGAGTCGCCACAATGATCTTGGATGACAAAATCCCATGATAATCCTCTTCTGCGACAAAGTCCCACGACGATCCTCTTCTACGAGAAAGTCCCACAATGATCCTCTTCTGCGAGAAATCCCCACGATGATCTTCCACGATGATCTGATCTTCCACGATGATCTTCCACGATGATCCTCTTCTACAATGGAATCCTATAATGATCTTGGATGACAAAATCCCATGATGATTCTCTTCTACAAGGTCTCACGAGAGATGATCCTCTTCTGCGACGAAGTCCCACGATGATCCTCTTCTGCTAAAAGGCCCCACGATGGTCCTCTTCTGCAAATGGAATCCTATGATAATCTTGTATTACGAAATTCCATGATGATTCTCTTCTGCAACAAGGTCTCACGAGAGATGATTCTCTTCTGCAACAAAGTCCCACAATGATCCTCTTCTGCGAGAAATCCCCACGATGATCTTCCACGATGATCTGATCTTCCACGATGATCTTCCACGATGATTTGATCTTCCACGATGATCTTCCACGATGATCCTCTTCTACAATGGAATCCTATGATGATCTTGGATGACAAAATCCCATGATTCTCTTCTACAAGGTCTCACGAGAGATGATCCTCTTCTGCGACGAAGTCCCACGATGATCCTCTTCTGCTAAAAGGCCCCACGATGGTCCTCTTCTGCAAATGGAATCCTATGATAATCTTGTATTACGAAATTCCATGATGATTCTCTTCTGCAACAAGGTCTTACGAGAGATGATCTTCTTCTGCTAAAAGGCCCCACGATGATCTCCACGATGGTCCTCTTCTGCAAATGGAATCCTATGATGATCTTATATGACGAAATCCCATGATGATTCTCTTCTGCAACAAGGTCTCACGATGATCCTCTTCTACGATGAAGTCCCACGATGATCCTCTTCTGCAAGAAAGCCCCACGATGATCTTCCACGATGATCTTCCACGATGGTCCTCTTCTGCAATGGAATCCTATAACGATCTTGTATTGCAAAATCCCATGATGATTCTGTTCTGCAACGAGATCTCACGAGACATGATCCTTTTCTACGACGAAGTCCCACGATGATCTTCTTCTGCTAAAAGGCCCCACGATAATTTCCACGATGGTCCTCTTCTGCAAATGGAATCCTATGATGATCTTGTATTACGAAATCCCATGATTCTCTTCCGCAAAGAGGTCACACGGGAGGGAGATGATCCTCTTCTGCGAAAAGGCCCCACGATTAACTTCCACGATGGTTCTCTTCTATAATGGAATCCTAAGATAATCTTGTCATGTGATCCTTTTTTGCAATAAGATCCCACGATAATCATCTTCTGCGGCAAAATCCCACGATGATCTTTCACAATAGTGGCTCTTCTGCAATGGAATTTTATGATGATCTTGTATGATCAAATCCCCTGATGATTCTCTTCTGCGACGAAGTCCCATGATATGATCTTCTGCAACAAAATTCTACAATAAAATCCGTGGATGATTATTTTTTTTTGTTACGCTATTATATTTTTAAACAATAAAATTCTAGGGTAATTTTGTAATGCATAATCTATGATTTTCATCTTTAATTATATTTATTCAACTTAACTTTTTTATGATAAAACGATGTTTTTCTTTTAAAAGAAGATAAAGTTCTCTTCAAGATAAAGTAAGGCAGTTAAATTATTAATTTAACTATTTAAATCTAATATTAAAAGTAATTAAAACTAATTATTAATTAATTAATTAAAAAATTGTGATATAATAGTTAAATTTGGACTATTTAGAATATCAAAATCGTGTTCAGTAGGCAAAAATTCTTTGGAAATGATTATTTATAATTGTATTGTAAATTGATGTTGACAGTGTAATATTGTTTATAAAATTTTCATCGTTATAAAACTTTTAGTTTTAAAATCTGTATTGTTAAAAATATAATTATGTTTCGCCTTTGTATTAATTTTTATTATATTAGACTGAACAATGAACACTTGTATTTGATTATTTTTGTATTAATTTTATAAACATATTTATTAGTGTACTGATAGAGTTGTCAGGTCTGTATGGTATATGCGTAAACAAAATTACTTACTTTTTTAAAAACAGATTAAACTGTTTTTCTAGAATTTGCATATTTCGCATCAGCGCTGTTGAACAAAACTGACTCCTTGTAAGTCCTATGATGGTATTCTATTTAATTTGCATCGAATATCCATGATGACCCTCTTTTGTGACGAAATTCTAGTTGATCAATAAAACTGCTGTTCTAAAAAATAGTACATCATATATAACACAAGTCTCGTATGTCTATAGACGAAAAATCTTTAAAGATTTTGAAGACAGCTAACGACAAAAGAAATCGAGAACCAAATTGCCATGTTTGCGCAATCGAGCAAGTATGTGGATATTAGCGTCAAATTTGAAGGTCGACAGTAGGTTATTGCATGATTGAACACACTTTTGTACCTCTATAAAACACTGTTAATAGAAAAATGTTTTAAAGAGACAAATAACTCACGTCCAAGGTGCTTCTCTGGTTGATATAACTGGTCGATAAAATCTTACAAGCAAGACAGAAAAACAAAATCAAGCTTCTTAGGGATATCAAAACAAATATACTGTTTATAAAGACACTGAGGAACGGAAATGCAAATCGTTTCTCGTTCAAGTATAAATTATTTACACAGCTTCATTTTTTTAAACGTAGCTACTTTATAGATATTGTATAAATATTATTCTCTTCTAATATTCTATTTCTTCTGATGTAACGATTCAGTATGGCTGTAGTGACTCAGGAGCCTTAAATACACACTTATAAAACATAGAAAAAAGAAAAACATGAATATATTTTATTAAAAATATATTAGTCCAGATTTACCAAATGCCAAGTATAACAAATATACTATAACAAGATAGAATTGGAATTTGAAAATTTTGATGTATCTAATTATTGACTTAATTAATTCGACAGTTCCAATCTAAAAACTTGTATTTTAGATGTAACAACTATTTAGGGATTTAGCAAATTTTTAAGGAAGCTAATACTAATGCTAATCTTTTAACACTCAATAATTAAGCAATTGCTTCAAAAAACCAACGTTAATTTCTGAACACTCAATAATTAAATAATTTAAAGAGTATGACAAAAAGTCCTTTTGAAAACTGTTACCTGACAAATTCTGCAGCTGCTGCTTACCTCTATCACTGTTCTATTTCATACATTTTTTTTAATAAGATATTTTATCGAGTCATACTATTATCATTCCTTTTAATTGTATCATTAATTATTTCATCTTCTTTCTCCAATTAATTCTAAAGTTCTATTGAATTTCAAAGTCCTTATTTCTATTGTCTGTAATATTAGACTGAACGAGTCCATATAGTTTACGCCAAACTTCGTAATTTTCATCCTCTTCGAGAAAATTGTATTTTTGCTCTCTTTGTTGTAAAACCTAAAGCTATCTCTTTAAAAGTCTATGTTAAAAATACATTTTAACGATATACAGCTTACTAAGAACTTTCCGCCGAGTTGAATTTCAATATTGTGCATCATTTTCTTTTTCCAAATAGTACATCTATTTTCACATATTTCTTGTTCCCTTAGAAACAAGACATTACACTGTGAATCATTTTGTACCTTAAATAGTTGAACCATCCCACTCATTCCATGACTAAAATACATTTTGTGTTAACAAACGTTGTGATTCAAATGACTGGTTTCTGTGAAGAAAACAAAATAGTATTCGACCTTTCCTTCCCTATTATTTGTAGTATTTTGTCACCCTCACTATATATCTCCCATAGATGATCTAATTAAAAGATGAAGAGACCTATTAGAAATCTATATACTGACAATTGTAATAAATTATTATATACTTCTCTCTATCTCTCCCTCTTCCTTTAAAAACTTTTAAAATCGATATCTTCTAAAAATAATGCACCTTTTTCTCTTTTCAAGTTAGGAAATGTCAGACTTTTATCTGGATGGATTTTTCACAAAGTATTCTTAATTTCTTTGATACATAAGATAATGAATAAATTATCGAGATTTCTTCTACAAAATAAAAATTTTAAACCTATATACATCAATTACAACAACATTATTCCATTCTAATTAAATTAACGATGAAAATAAAGTGATTTAAAAAGTATTATCTAAAACTGTTTTTGAATTTTTAAACTTTTGGATATTTATAGAGCCTTGAATATGATCTCTCCGAGTGCTTCAAGTTCTGAAATTGTTGAGTTGCTGAAGTATTATATTTTTGGCCTTTTGTGTTGATTATTGAATGTTTAAATTGTATATTTTTAAACTTATTTCATCCCGATTTGCAAATTTATACAGTCCATGTGCTCAGCGTGTCCTTGAGTTGCAGAAGTCTCGCACAAACTCGTTCTGTGTGGATGAAATTACACGTTGTCAAACTAATGAAAAGACATCAGCAGAATATTTTCACATCAACATCAATAATTATATGTAATAATCTTGTGCCATCGCGAAACGTTTTCCAAATACGTTTTTCTTCATTACCGTTATGCACAGCATCTTCCTATGACTCATAAGAACATTTTTCTCCCTTACCCTCTTCCTATTTGCATACACGAAGTACAAAGTACAAGGATCAAAGATCAACAATGATTCTCCGTCTCTTGTTACCTTTTTATGTGACAAATCCAGTCGTGTCTCCTTGATCACGGATCAATTGTGTTAAGTCGTCTTAGAATTATGTAGATGATGTCAGGGTCGTTTTCTAATCTATGAAAGGTTTAGAGTTCTTTCGTTCTGCTACCTGCTATGTAAAACATAAAAAGAGTCGAACAAAACAAAATGCAATATGTAAATTATATTACGATTATGGAAATTATATGATATTAGGAACGATAACCAGTTATGCGCTAACAGATTTACTATCTTAAGCCGCCCATCAGACCAAATCTTCATGATATAGTCATGTTCAACAGATTATATTTTACATTTTGGTATGCCAATCTCAAGACACTTAAACCATATTGCTCATAGTTCGTGGGTCGAATAGGATGAGAAATCTTCCAAACGCACGCAGCTATCTGTCAATCAAAAAGGTTTGTCTCATTTGCACCCCTTCCCCTCCCCACCTAGCTTACACATCTCTCTATTTATCTCCAAAAACATTCCAATATAAAATTATATTATTGAGAAAAAAGTCCAATACTTTACCATGTAACACACCTTAAATTACCAGATAAACTATTTGATTAAAAATCCAAATATATATATATATATTCTACTTAACCAGGTTTTACCGTAATAGAAAATTCCATTCAATTGGTGTTGATTTAACACTCTTGCTATTTGTGTGCCCTTTTAAATAAAAATATTTTACTTAGTGCTCCTAATTTTTGTGATCTGTTTCCTCTTCGTGTATGCGTCGATTCATTGCTGGTACAGACTTAAATCCTTAAACTCATCAGATAAGGTTGGGATTTCGATAAAGATATCAAAATTCTTTTTCAATTCTCTAAACGTCAACTTCGAAAGCTTTGTAATAAAGATTCCCAAACATATACATGGGTTCCTCATAGTTCCAGAATAGTCTTCAAGTTCTTAGATCTTCGGATTTCCAGATTTTTTACAATTGACATTAATTCATTTAATTGGTATTAATTGTATTTGCAAAAAGATAAAACACAATGTCTATTAGAAATAAAATAAAATTCAATTTCTACATTAATTAAAACCAATGTTACCAAGTCAAAAAACCTAACATTTCTGCCTCGTCTTATATATACATAATATATAATTCTTGCGCATATACTCTTTTTACTTCGACAATTTTTCCTTCACTTGCTAAGTCAACGATATCTTCCAAACACCTCTCATACTCTCTGAATATCTAAAACACACACGTTAACATCCTATCCTAATCGGCATGGCCAAGGGTTGCGCAGATCTATGAACACATTATTATGCAACGTCGAACAAGCATAAACATGGAAACTTTATAAACAGGAGAAACTTCTGGTAACTCTAATTGGGTTATTAGCATGCCGAGTTACCTTACTTGAAGTGTACCTGTGACCTCAAGATAACGGTTCTTTGCATCATTAGCCTATGATATTCAACGAAAATGAACTTCTGGATCTGAGGAAACGATCGATCAGGGGAATGGAAGTCCATTGCATGAAAGCCATTTCTCATCGTGTAGTTATCACGCAGACGAGCTCGGTATCGTGCAAAAGATAATTTGTGCGCCAATTCAATCAGCCTCTAGAAACACAAACTTTTTCCTTCCGACTCACTCAAAATTCAGATATACTTCCTTATAGTTCTTTTTTTTTCGCTCATTGCAATCTTATGGATTTTCTAAGCCAACGATAACGACGGCATCGTCCATATTGACAGCTTCATTCGCAATAAGATGAATTTTCTATGGTGTCTATGTGCCAGACTGAAAAGGAATTGACGACATTAATAAGTTGGTGAATAGAAAAGTTGAAAAGAAATAGTTCTACATTATTACTTGCAAAAATGTATTTATTTATCTTACACTCCTCTCAGTACTTCTCACTTCATCTTCTTATTTAACTTGTATCACAGCTTTACTTACAAATGTATTTGATATAAAATTAAAAGTATCACAATGGCTTACAATAATAGAGATCCTTTGTCTTCGATTATCTTGATCCTAAATGGCATTAGAAATATGTGAAAAAAATTCATCAATGTTGAAAGCCTTGGTAGGTTGCACTTGATACATATAATTTTATAATATTATAATCAATTCACGACTTGATAAACATAAAAATGTAATTTTTCAAAAATTTGATTAACCCTTTGATAGCACACTATGTTACATATATAATACGTTAAGACATTATGCATAAAAATACTGTATAAAAGTTAATACATAATAACAATTTTTTTTTCAATTAAAATGCGAGATATTTAAAAAAATATGATAATATGCAAATATATGTATATTTTCTTAATAAAAAAAATGTTGAGTATGCCATAGTTGCATCGAAGAATTATTATTTGTTATACTATTCAGGATCAAGAAGAGTTAAATGCTATACAAATAAAATTATTATCACAATGCAAGGCAGTCTTATAATATGTGTATATAAATTTACAAATTTATTACAAACCTAAGAGTATTTTTAATTTCTAAAACAATGTGAAAATTTTCCCGCTTTCTGTTCTTTACCAGTATTTTACTTTAATTATACACAAGTTAAATAAATACTTTGGTTTCGATACAGTTTACAAACCAAATTGATGACAGGTAGGAAGGCCGATATGTGCGTATGTATGCGTACGAAATCCCAAGGTATCGTCTGCACCTGCATTACAGCAACTCTCTCTCTCTCTCTTTCTCTCTTTCTCCCTATCCTTTTTTTTTCCACCTGCATCCGCCATCTCAAACGGTGAGACTGCAAGTAAAAAATATCCAGATATATACTAGTGTAACGATGAGACTGCGAAAATTGCCGCAATGCTGCAGGATGATTATTTGGCATCTTCTGGATACATCAAGGTTGCTTGCTGATATTGGAACATAGCTCCACAAAAATTAGATTGGTTCGTGAATTTTCGTTCTGCTTCAGTAAGACAGAGAAAAATCAAGTAGAAGATAGACATTGAGACATCCATCCATGGATCGGCATACATCGTATAGTGTATTGTAGTTGATAAAACATTATTATTAATGGCAGCACGACATTTGCTGAGGTGGCCATTTTGAATAAGCATGGATGACCTCGAGGATATGATCGAATTTTCTGCAGATTTTTACGACGTTTCGATCACCCTGGACTATCTGTGGAAACAAGAGCATGTATCCTCCAAGCCTAGTCACCGCTGCACAGGCGATTTGATTGTACTCAGCTGCTGAAGGAAGTCCACTATGCTGCTAAGGTCTTCGCACAAGTTATCCCGCGAGAAAGTTATGTTCCTCGAGTCAGGATGATAGCCACACCTCTCGAACTCACGTTCAGTCGTATTGTACAGGCCACAACTGCCGTACTCCACGTTCTTGAGTAGATGCCTTCGCAAACGCCGCCAACGAGTTACCCTCGACAACTGCTTAGCCCGTAACTCGTATTCCGCCTTGTGTAGGGCGTGAGTTAGCACGGCTTCCATATGGAAGTCGCGTTTGGGGCTCCTATGGCACTTTAGCTTCTTCTGACGCACGTTGGTGATCCAGTTCGTCAACTGTTCCGTGTGGCTCGGCTTGCCCATCTCAATCTCTCGCGGTCGATCACGAATGTCTCTCGTGGCCATAGATAATTGCGTCACACTCCCGTAGGTAGGAACTATTCTAGCTTGCCCCATCGTACAACTAAGTATTGATTAAGTATCGAATACACCAACCTGTATCCAATTCGCGCCTCTAGTCGCTCGCCAGCGGTAAAGTTGCTCGAGGCGCATTCAAGAATTCCTCGGTGAGATCCAGCCGCACCGTTCAGAGAGGACTTGCAGAATGGCGGCGCAATTCTCGTAGTGGGGGCCTTATATACTTAAATGGCCGTCGTTAAGTGTAACCTTCCGCGTTGGCGCATAAAGTAGTCCTGCGTTTGTATCCAAAAATCTGTCCAACGTCGTCGAATTTCTCGCTTATTAACAACACAACTCGTTCATTCGTAATACAAAGTGCCTTTCGAGAACCTTTTGAGAACCGAATTACTGCTCGCAAAGCAAAAATCGATGCAGCCGAGAAAACGGATTACGGCGTAGGAAATAAGTACCGTAGACCGTCGTAAGTGATGCGGTCCCTCTTCCTACAACCACAATTGCCGAGTATTTCATTGTTGCTAGTAGGAAGTGGGATTGCGTTTTCCTGCGCATGTGCGCACGTACATATACCGAGTTGTCCTTTTTCATCATGGTAGAAATGCTGCACAGTGAAGTTGTAACGATAATGATATTTACGTTAAGAATTACAGAATAGAGTTGATGGTCTGTTTTTTTCTAGCTGGAATGTGTTTAGGTCGTTTTATTAGGAATTTATGCCCCTTGCACAATACGAGGGAAATATTAATAGAAGTAACACAAGAATCTGTCGGAAACTATTCATGCATTTATTACTTTATTAGTATTATATTTGGAAAAAAAACAAAACAAAAACGAGCATATCTCTACTCTAAGATTTTTTTTTTCTTAGTTTATCGATCCTTATTATTTACATCCGTAGTTTTGATATTTAAATTCTGAACATACCTGTATACTGTCACGTCAAATGTTCTGATATGTATGTACTCTCTTATTATACTATATATATACGTGATGTAAACTATATTTAAAATTATCTAGAAAAAATATATTTCTCCAATACACTGCTGAAGGGTCTTGAATTTCTTGCAGTCAGCTCCTCCCCAATATCTGAGAATGGATTAAAATGTATTCAGATTTTCAGAAATAATGTGGATTCACAAATGCGTTAAAATGAATCCATTTCAATCCGAATACATTTTTATTTATTTATAGGAATTGCATGGAGCATATCTGTATATCTTTCAATCTAAAAATAATATTATATATGTGTTGGAAAGAAAAAAAAATAAAAGGTGCAAGAACGGTTTAATTGAAAACAATATATATATTATATAGATATCTTTGGTATAATGTGACGTTTCTATCTATAAATGTAGATAATATTTTTAGTAGATAGTTGATAAAAATATGATAAAAAATTTAATATCCTTTTGTCTCTATATTAATCATATATTCCTTTTATATTAATTATTATACTATTAGAACTTGTATAATAATTGTCGTATATCCTTTTATAGAAAATATGACGTCGATATGAGAAAAAATTCAATGATACGATGATGATGTCATCATTTAAAAATAAATTTATAAGTGATAAATAAAATCATGATAATATCTTTATGATATTATTATGGCTTCTATGTTCTACTTGGGTATATACTATATACTTATGAATTCGTTACTCCGTTGAAATTACGCACTATGCGCGGTAGAAAATACACGTATTTCTACCAATAACACTGAAAATACCTTTTCATACACGTCGCTCATCGCTCATTTTTCAACGACATAGTGACGTCACGTAATCGCTGATAACGTGATTTTGTAGTTGAATTTTTCCAATGACAAGCGACGTTGCAAGTGATCGTGTTATGATAATATGACATGTAATGAAATATATTAAAATGAATGAAGAGGTAAAGTATAATATATATTGAAATATATATAAAATTATAAGTTGTAAATAATATCAACATATATAAAAGCATATAATGTATCACATATAATAAAAGAAATAATAAAAAACATATATATTATTATAAAAAAAGTAATAAGATTATATCATACATAATAAAAAAAAATTTATTACTTATTTTTTAGTATCTTATGTAATATCTATGTATTGCTGCTTGTCCGTTTTTCTTTTTGCATTTTCTTTACAATTATATTTTCAAAAAAATCTGGAAATAATTGAATAATTTTAATCGGAATAATTCGTACAGATTATCCTCCCCAGGAATATATCGAAATACTAGAAAGACAGAGACTGACAAAGTGACGAATTGACGATTAACGATCGAGTTGCATTTGATTGTCCAATCAAAGTTATTGACCATGAAAGCAATTATTGAAGCGGATTTATTAAAAACCACTCAAGAACTAATCAATGAACATTTTTTTGATCAATCAGTAGTGTTGTTTTTTATTTTAATCAAATCAGATAAGTAAAAAACCGATATTATTTTTGTATCAATTTAATACAAACGTTTTCAAAATAGTAGTAAAATATTTGCACTTAAAATGAAATAAATATATATGCAAATAAGTGCGAATATATATTCGAGCGTTTTGAAAAGAGAGAAAGCGAAGACGCTGAGTGCAAAAAGTGCAAACAACTCGAGCAGACCGTTCTTGCTGAAACGACCAAAACGACCAGTTTGAAGACTCGTGAAAATGCACCTTTATGCACACGCGCACGGATAGGATAAGGACGACCTAGTTTCCACTTTCCACATGGTTTTTTTGTACATGCAAACGTCAGGTCACAGCAAAGGTTCTTACTGACAAGTGAGGGGATCATCTCCGGAGTGGCGAACACGGACGCGCACGCAACGACGAGAACATTCACGAGTAGCGCGGCGAGATGAGCAAAAGGCGGAACAGGCAACCAGACGCGAATCCCGACGTCAGTGAAGCCTCTACAGAGTCCTGCGAAGAGACGAACACAGGTTAGAAACGCATGCCTCCTAGAGTTTCTGATAACTACGAAATCTCGGATTGTCGAGCCTCCTTATTTTCGAATTTTTAATTTTTCTTTATTTTTAATTCTCTTTTTGTGTTCACTCCGGTTTTTCTGACCTCTAGGGATATATCTTTAAATTTTCAAAATAGGTCAGCAAATCGAGCAACTTAGAAATTTACCAACACAAAGAGTTACAAATTAAAAAATTTCAAAGTCGAGAGATTTAACATCTCTTCGAATATTTAATAATAAAAAAAATAAATTTTTTAACTTGACACATTCAAAAGTATCTGTTTATATAATCCGTACAAAGACATTTAAATTGAATTTATATTTTAATGTAAGATATTATTGACTGTTAGCAGGTGCAAAATGTCTGCACATAGCAAAGGCCATTAACCTGAACAAAGTAAAAAAAAATCTAAAAAAGACTGGTATATTAAGCAAATGTTCCATGTGCAAGAAACTGGAGGTGGACCTCAAGACATCAGAGGAGATTGTAAATGACACTGTAAACTTAATTATGTAACTGAAATAGCATATCAAGTATTAAAGTCTAATGTAAAATTGTTTAAATTTGTAGAGTGATATTTCCAAGCCTCTGTGGATTTGCTTGCAATGTGGTGAACAAAGCTGTAGTAAAGAGGAAAAACAGCATGCTGTCGAGCATTACAAAAAGCCTCACAGCGACTGCCATTGCATGGTGACGGATTCTCACCATTGGAGTGTTTGGTGTTACCAATGTGAAATTGAAGTTCAACCGAACAGTAGGTAAGCTAAGCGATAAACTGTTTTAATATTAAGTATTAAAACAAATAATTCAGTATTTTTTATGAAATTTAATATTTATTGTCTAAACATACACTGTCAGTCAAAAATTTCTAGATACCACTAAAATTAGTAATTCAACAGTGTCCAGCGATTCTTGAATGCCCTTGAATTCTAGAATTATCCCGAGGGCATATTCTATGACTCTTAATGCAAATTTTGTTATTTTTATAACACTGCTGCGCAACTTCTTTATCATAATAAAAGAGCTGTACAATGATGTTAATTATTTGTAAGACAAAATCGATGTATCGGTAGCACTGCAGAGTAGTCGCGTCTAATCTAAATCATTTATAATCTTTGTAATGTAGTTCGTTATTTGATATTAATGATTAATATATTGGAGTACGAAATCAGTATTGACATAAAAATTAATCAATGTTTTTATTTTACTTTTTGTTGGACAAAGAGAACATGATGCATGTGTCAGAACAAATAATAATCTGAAAGTATTGTATCCGACTTATTCATTAAACTGATCAGATAGAATATCTTTAGATTATTATTTATTCCAATAGATGCAGAGCGCTATTTTCCAGCAAAAAATTTAAAAATGTATTTCATAGAGATAAGAAAATTGTTGAATTGAAAGCTTGATGAATTTATTGCAAGACTAATCTTTCTATCGTGGCGAAATCTATGGTCGGTATTCATAGTCGGTTTTTATATTTAAGATCACTTTAAATATAATTTTTAATTATCATAAACCACACACAGTCACATTATTTTAAACATCCTTAAAATTAGAACGGATTGGATGATATTTCATGTGTCATAAAATAAATTTTTTTAACGCATTGATTGTTTATTATAAAATAGAAAGATCCGAGAACCTCTCTATCTTACAGCTTTTTTGTATGACACATAAAATATTAATTTATGAATACCTGCCTATAATTTGTCTGAAAGATTGAAAAAAATACTGAAAAATATTATAGGAAAAAATAGTAGATTACTTTCATATAATTGAACTATGTTGGTATGTTTCGACATTAAATATCACATTGCATAAAAAATAATATATTATTTATATTTCTATAAACCTAATAAAAAGCATGTTTATATGTTTACGAATGTATATATTTGTATATTTTACTTTTCAGGAAAAAACTCCTTGAAACTGTAGAATTTATCAAAAAGTATGTAAATATACCACAAATATCTCAATCAAAAATGCCAGTGATTCAGTGCCAAAAAGAGATAATAAACGACGTACAGGAGAAAGAACCTAATAAAATGTTGAATAATCTTCCTAAAGTCGGAGTATGTGAATTATATGACATGTTCTTTTTTGTTTAATTTCAAGTTGCTTTTCTTAATCTCTCTTTTTATTTTACAATTTCTTTTTAAATGTATAATGCAATAATATGGAGATAAATTGTATAACAATGTTAAAAATATTTACAAAATTAAGAAATTTTTTAATTATGCATTATAGGGCTTAGCAAATCTAGGAAATACATGCTTCTTCAATGCTGTACTTCAATGTCTAGCGCAAACACCTTACTTGGTGAAGGTACTAGACGATCTGCGTATACCCGGGCAGAAATTTGTCTTACCAGGTGGAAAGCACAAACCTGTCGATGCTAAGGAGGAAGTGGAACTGGTATGTTTACCTTTTATATTAAAATTGTCTTATATTATCTCAAGATATTTGTGAGGTGCTAGATTAAATTTAATATTATAACAGTTTGTTAAATGAAAGGTCTAGATTTGCTTCTTAGATTTATCACTCTGTAGATGTGATACTAGCAATATGGAAAAAACAATTTCACTAAAGCAATAACAGTGTCTAAAATGTAAATTAATCTCAAGATAACTAAAAATAAGCATATTGTGGTACTGCATCATTCCTCGGAAGACGAGAAATCTCCAAACAGAAAACAATATATGAAGCAATATGATTTACAAAAAAAAAAGACAAATATTTATTCGATACAAGTGAAACAAGCCAAATTCATTATTAGATAAATGATTTGAATTTGTGTTTGATAAATCCACAAAGTTAAATTTAATCATTTGATCAAATAAATCGATAAAATAAGAAAATGTATTAATATTATTATATTAAAGATTCATATAAGAAAGATGTATCAATATTAGTTAAAAAGATAATTATTTTATTTATTTTATAGCCACCAATCGAGGGGACCTTAGAACGATGGGGCAGTTTCACGTCAATTCTCTGCGAAACGTTGTCAAAAATGCAAAATACGAACGGTCATCAAACTTATACTCCTTTAAATCTCCTCTGTAAGCTCAGGAAAAAAACTACACAATGCGTGGATGGAGGGCAGCACGATTCACATGAGTTTCTTCGACACTTATTGGAAATAGTTCGAAATGAAGATCTCCGAGTAAGTAAAAGTTCTTAAATAAAAAGCTCTTAAATCTTTTCTAACAATCTTATCAAAGTCAACTTTATCTTTCAGAATGTTCTTTATTTAAGTAGTTTAAAAATGACTACTTTTTTAATAAATACTTTTAAAACTTATGCACTTATCGTTTTAAAAGGTTTTTAAGATATCCGGCCAAAATTTGCCATTTTTACTCTGTCCTTTTTTCTGTTCGGGAAAACCATTCTTATTTTTTAATGGCCATAGAGAATATATTTAAAAAATGAAAGAAAATTCTCATATAAGGATAGAACATTATACGGTCTTAATCATTTAGAATAATAAATCGTTTATTATTATTATATTAAGATTTTACTTAAAATTCTATAACTGTTGTTTTTTGTTAGATTTGTGTTTAATATTTAGATTCATACACATGTATTCTCTATAATTTTATATTATATTATATGATATTTTATATATTTTATTTTATTTATTCTTTTAGAAAAATGTAAAGAAAATTTTTTTAGTCTAAATTTATTGTTCTTTTTAAAGTAATGTCAGATTCAATGCTAAAGCCAGTTCTTAATTTGCGAGTTCTTAATATTCAATATGATGTAATGATAAATCTTAAAAGTAAGTTGAAATGTCACTTTGCAGAGATACCAGAGCATAATTCTGAGGGAAGTCGGTCTGAGCGGCAAGACAAAACCTGATTGCGTGGAAAAAGGCTTGAAATCTCGTGTGAAGTTCTATGGCAATCAGGCCAGTACGCGGCTGTTAGGACCAGAAGCAGTATTTCGCGGCGTGTTAGTATCTACTCTAGAGTGCCTGGATTGTCATCATTCGTCGCAACGCACCGAGCCATTTCTAGACTTGAGTCTGCCCGTTACAGCGGATAAGCCACAACCTCCACTCTTAAAGTAAAGAAAAAGACTTATTTATTTTCTTCAGATTACAGTAATTAATTTTATCAACTTCTAAAGTAGAATATGGTCATTTTGACATATAGAAGGAAGAACAGCGAATTTGAGGATGCTTTTGATATGATGAACATTCAACAACATAATTGTCAGACGGAGATTTGGAGATCGGAGGAGACAACATGGAAGCAGTTGAAGAAGGAGAAAAAGGCAGCCAGGAAGAACAGAAAGAATAAAAGGCACGAGAATTATAACAATTCTACTGTGGATCTAAATAATCCCACGGAAGAAAACAATGATAATGTTTTGAAATCAGGTATAGCTTTTTTTCTTTTGCCATAGAGAAGCTATTTATAATATAACAATTCTAATTTTTCTTACGCGCTATACAAATGTTCTAAAAAGAAAATACTTTCCCGTTTTTTAAATCCATTTTCTCATAAACAAAGTTGTATAAAAAGTTTTTTATTTTTAGAAGAGAGTGACGCCGACGTGGAAGACAATATCGAGGTGGACAATTCTCATCCGGAAATTGGAGAGTCTGGTTATAGCTCTGAGAAAGCATCCGCAGTCACCACTCCTGTATCTCCTGCTCACCATCAGCATCCAAACAGTGACTTTAATAGCACAATCAAACCTGAGGACAGTAATCTGGACAACAGTAACTTGGACTCAGCACAAGTTAGACATCTAGTGAACATTAACGCATTAACTAGTCCTAGTCCAACCGACGTGTCGATGACGGACTTGACTCAAATCAGGATACCACTCGAGAAGACTGATAAGAACGTCGGTATCATCAGCTCTGAGAATGAAATGTCAGCCACAGCATTGATCAGTTCCATAATTGTCAACTCTGACGTCACAAGCCCTGAAGTACCCACCGCAAGTTTAAGTAGTTCTGCTGCTTCTAAGGAGAGTCCCACTAGCCCTGTCAATAATGAAGAAGTTGCAGAAAGGTATTCAAATGTTCAAACGTTAAATTAAAATATAAAAACTTTGAATGTTTTTTCAATTCGTCCATTCTTGAAAGCTTAAGATTATGAAATTTGTTTGATGAATATTGATTTTTGGAATTCTTAAATCTTGAATATTTTTACATTTTAACTCTAATATGTGTTTGTGTGACAAAATTATAATAGTATAAAAATTATAATATTTGATTTCTTGCTTTTAAAAAAGATTAAAAGACTTTCATTTTGGCCGAAAAACGGCTCTAACTTAACATCCTCCTTGGAATTAAGCGTGGTATTTCCTCAGATTGGATGGTGTTGAAACATGGATGGCTACTACTTTATCGAGGTATGGTAGAAGGCAATATAATAACGAAACTTCCAATGGAGATGATCCCGAAGAGCAAGATGTGTATAATAAGCTTGCTGATATAGTTACGGGAATGTCTAAGCTGGGAATCGTCGGACATCAATCGCCTGGCAGGTACACGACCAAGGAGGGTGAATGTTCCGTGGAATCGTGCTTGAATCAATTCACCGCGCTAGAGCTAATGACGGGAAGTAACAAAGTCGTGTGCGAGGCATGCACAGCTCGTGAGAAGAAGGTAACTCAAAAAGAAAAGAAAGTGATCCTTCTCAAGCTCTCTAAAGAAACTTGGTACATTCGAGAAATATGTGAGAACTTTTATAACATTTTCTTTCTCGTCTTCTTACGTGAATGAGAATAATATCATTTCATTTTCACTTTTCTTTTTTTTTCTCAGAATCAGGAAGGTTCATCGAAGATGGTATGTACTTCGAGTACAAAGCAATACCTCATTTCTCAAGTACCTCCGATATTGATACTGCATTTGAAAAGGTTTCAAACACAGAGAGTCGGTTTTCGAAAGGTTTTCAAGCATGTGTCGTTTCCGATATTATTGGACTTGGCACCGGTTTGCACAGATCACAAAAAACGTCGACTTTATGCACTTTATGGAGTCGTCGAGCACAGTGGAACCGTTCATGGTGGCCACTATGTTGCTTATGTGAAGGTAGATTTTATTTACTGTCGAACTTCAAAAGGATATTTATGATTTTATAAAAAGATAAGATAAAATGAATTTGTTTTTCAAAAAATGTGAACAGGAATGTGCGTTGAAAATGGCTTTAAATAAAAATATATTAAATCTTCGTATTTATATGATTATATTGGAAGAATTTATTAAAGTTGTGTTGCAATCATATTGCAATAAAAACTAAAGGTCAAAGAAAAAGTATAAAAATATTCAATGTTTCTGTTGCTTTACTTCTGATAATCTTTTTTTGTATGGAAATATGTGATGATAACATAATTTTGAAAAATTACTGTTTCTTATGAACCCTTTATTTATGTTCTTGTTAGACGAGACTGCCACTATCACCAAATGATCCCCGATGGAAGTTTCTTCCAAAGGATAAAGATCCTAAGGCGAATAACGAGTCGAGTAGTTCAGATTCAGATGAGGAAGAACCATCAGCGAAAGCTATATCCATTGTAGAACCACCACCTGGAAGATGGTATTATGTATCAGATTCTCGGTGAGATCCTTGTTATTATAACATGTTTATTAGAAAACACAAAAAAAATATATGTAACAAAATTAATATCATGAGCTCTATACAACAAATTATAAAATTAATTCTAGAAGTTACTTTTTCGTTTAGAAAATTAAACGTAATTTTCTAAATACAAATATCGTATTCATAAGAAATTGATGTTATATATATATATATATATATATTTAAATTCCAAACACTCAGTATATATATATAACATCAATTTCTTATGAATACGATATATATATATATATACTGAATGTTTGTAATTTATAAGGAATATTAATGTAATTATTACTATTTATTTATTTCATCATTGACATTTATTATCATTTTTTATATTTATTCTATATTTATTGTATCTATTCTAGGGTATCGGAGGTAGATGAAAATACAGTGCTACAAAGTCAAGCGTATCTCTTATTCTACGAGAGGATTCTCTGATTCGATAAAACAATGCAGAACGTGAATGAGTATCGATGTAGTTATGTTCGCATTTCCGATTTTCGAAAGAAAGGAAACAGACTTATGATGAATTTATTAATTATGCAATTATTAAGAATCACATCACGCGTTATTGTATGTATGATGTATGAAACTGATTATGTGTACACACATTGCAAGAAACCTGTAATCTATTAGAAATATCGAAAACTTGGTTCTTGTGAAAAGTTGTTTTTTTACAGTCGGTTAGCAACAGATGCCAAGAATTATTAATAAAAAATTTGAAAACTTTCGTAAAACGTTGAAGTGAATGCTGGAGTGACGGCCGAACTAATCAATATCAATAGTATGGAATCCCGATTGCATCACTCACATTAGTTGATACGTAGTAAATTTTCACTGCTTTTTTTATCAATGAGAATATTTGATTTTTAAATTGGCCATTTAGCAATGTATGTGTGCAATATGCGATGCGTGCAATCAGAACCTTCCCAACAGTATCTTTGATTATAGAAACTTGCAGGTCTATCTGTACCTTTTAACACATGTTTCATTATTGTTATAACGCCGCGGGCCCCTATTCTGTAACTCGTTATGATCGTAACGCTATCGTGATATTTTGTTGCGTAATTTTTTTACCATGTATATTACCAAATCCGTGCAAAGACAATATTAAGCCCGATCTACAATCGCGTAAATGTAGTAGTTGTAAGAATTGACCAATTATAGTTGAATACGAGGAGAATATCCATCTATGACTGAAAAATTACAACTACGACCATTTACAACTACGTTCACGCAATTGTAGAACAGGCTTAACAATATCGTTATTGTCTTAACGAGTTACAGAATAGGGGCACTACGCAGCTTCTTTACCATAGTGAAAGAGCTGCGAAGTATTGCAATAATAATGAAATTTGTATTAAGAATTACATAGACCTGCTGGATTGCTAGCAGTAAAATTTATATGAACATAGAAACAGTACCACCTTAGCCCTTACCATGTTGGAAGAACTGACATGGTAAAATTTTTTTCCACACAATGCCCATAAGAACTAAAACTAAAATGTCAATCATGAATTAATTCGTAATTCAAACTGATTGCCGAAGTATCTGTCATTCGTGTTGCAATATTAATTTTGTGAAATTAAAAATTAAGATATATTAAATGAGTCGTTATTGTTATGTAGAAAAGTAGAATGGTTTAAAATATAAGTGTTAACATGAAGACAATGATACCAGCTTCCGATTGTTTGAGTATTAAAATTATGAGTTTGTATAATATTCTCTCTCTCTCTCTCTCTCTCTCTCTCTCTCTCTCT